TAATATTTATATAGACGGTCTTGTTTCCAATCATATTGTTTATAATACGCGCGCTTATACATGCGTAACTCACTATATATATCGGTTATTGCGAAGAGTGTTGCTAAGGTCTCGGTAGTCTAAAGGCTCAGGACGCTCTCACGGAATGCAAGAGATACGGGTTCAACTCCCGGCCGAGGCAATATTTTTCGCAATAAGTTTATTACAGTTTTTTAAGATTTGGGAGAATTTGGGGAGATTATTTGTTTCACATTGATTGTGTGAATCCGATAATTTCATCGGCACTCAATTTATTTCTGAAATATTAATTCAATTTAATTGAATGTATATTAGATAGTAGTTCAACATCTTAACACTCGGACCGGGAAGGCGTTTTGTATTTAAAGTTTTAATATTTATATAGATGGTCTTGTTTCCAATCATATTGTTTTTAATATTAATTTGACGTATTATATATAAATTTATACCGAATTATTTCAGAAGCGAATTTTATCACAAAATGACCAGAAAACCATTAAAACTTCCAAACCGACATTTAAAAATGTCCAATCAACACCAAATATCAAAAATAAAGAACCAAAGACTGCTCATGGCGGAATATATGCCAACAAGCAAGGTGGATCACAGTCTCCTGGACCAGTAAGTTATAAAGTTCAATAATTGTGAATTGGACGCACTAGTGCGCATTATTGCATATTAAAGGCATTGATTTAATTTAAGTAAAAATGAAATGTAAATGTTCCGAATTATGAACTATACATATTTTACCTAAGTATATATATTTTACCAGTACAATAAAGTGTATTAAGTATTTTATATTTCGATTTATCCGATTTTTATGTTTATTTATAACATATCTTTAATTATGTTAATTTGCGTACAATAGTATACCAGTGCGCACTGAGTGTGTCCAATCAAATTCATTATTACAATTTTAATACGAAAAAGGAAAATTAATGGAACGCATTTTTTTTATTACAGAACAAACCAATACATCCAGTCAGCAGCACTGACAAAAACAACAATTTAAATGGTTTCAACTATTAATTAGTATATACGTAATAATAGCATATATATACATAATAATAATACTTTTCAAACATTTTAAAACAATTTTATTTTTGGATTACTTTTGTCCTTGCATGCGCCGTGCATGCAAGTATCACGATGTCCGTTATTATTTTATTAATTATTATTAAAAATGAAGAATGTGTTAGAATTGAGCGCACTAACCTTATGTCGCTTTAATAATAAATTAAATCTTAGATAGATTAATGTTATTTTGTTCAACCAATGACTTTCAATGACTAAATCGACTGTAACGTTAATAAGAAGAGAAATAACGTCAAGTGAAACGTGGGTGAAGTCATCTGATAAGTAAATCTGAGATATATTATTAACTAATTGAAAGCTATTATTTTTTACTTATCCTATCGATTCTTCAAGGCATAAACATTCAAATTCTATGTAAAAAAACTGCTAAATTACGCAAGGGACTATGGATGATACTAATATGTAAGATTGCTTGTCTTATGGATTTTTGGCAATCCATATGCCTTCTTATTGGTAATGTTACATTTGTTGAATTAAGAAAATTATATGTATAATCAATCACAAATTCTAGTCGTTTCTAAGTTTTTAACAAAGATCTTAGATCCGCCAATTGTTGATCGGATTATGCTTTAAAATTGTATAAGTATGTCGGATAATAAAGCTTCCATTTTATAAATATAATCCAATTTATCTATAGCGGTAGTAACATTTCCCTGGTCTGCATGCGTTAACAATATTTGTGGATTGTTTTTAACAAATTGTTTACATTTGTAGTATATATATTTTTGTATAAACTTTTTAATATCTAAATTTTTACTTGTGTATGTATCTAATAACTTTTTAATAATAAATAATTTAAATTGTGTTTTCAATTTACAGTTTTATTCTTTCTTCACGATGAGCGTTTCTTTATAAATCTTTAATACATTGATTTTACAAATCATTTAAATTTTACACTATTAAATTACTTATTAGTACGACACTTCATATTATATATATTAATTTTAAAACAATTGTTCCTCTCGAATATTTTTTCAGAACGAAGTAAGCGAAATAATTGAGAATAGTTGCCTTCTACGGAAAAAACAACTTTTTTTAATCAAATATGTGAATTCTGAAATATTTTAAGATATAAAAATTCTATAAAATTGTATGTAAATAAAAGAATTTTTCGCATGATTAGATTTTCCATATAATTTTGTAACTGTAATATAAAGTCTATATACGCTATATACCCTTTATATTCAGGTCTTCACTTTCTGTCATATATAATATATTTCTTTTCAAAGTTCGACACAACATGCAACGATTGTATGAGATAAGATTTTTTTGCAATAAATTATTTATAAATTTTAATATTAATTTGATACGTATCATATATAAATTTATACCAAATTATTTCAGAAGCAGATTTCATCACAAAATGACCAGAAAACAATTAAAACTTTCCAACCATTTAAAAATGTCCAATCGAAACCAAATATCAAAAATAAAAAACCGAAGACTGCTCATGACGGAATATATGCCAACAAGCAAGATGGACCACAGCCTCCAGTAAGTTATAAAGTTCAATAATTGCGAATTGGACGCACTCGTGCGCATTACTGCATATTAAAGGAATGATTTAATTTAAGTGTAAAAATGAAATGTAAATATTTCGAATTATGAAGTATGCATATTTTATGTAAGTATATATACATATTTTACATATTGTACAATAAAGTGTATTGAGTATTTCATATTTCGATTTATACGATTTTTATGTTTATTTATAATAATATACTTTTTTATTCACTATTGTTATTTAAACCTGAATCGAAATTAATTAAATCAACTCTCTCTATTATTAAAAACAAAAATTTCACTTACTTATATATTATTTTACCAATATCTATATCAATAATTACAATTATAATTTAAATATAATAAAAAAGATTTTAAGTTATACCCTTAAACTCTAAACCTTCAAAGTTTAAAAAATAATTTTTTTTATAAATCTTACTACCTTCAATAACCTCATAAATTTTCTATATATTCATTTAATTAACATATCTTATGTTAATAACATATCTATATGTTAATTTGCGATAGTGTACCAGTACGCACTGAGTGTGTCCAATCAAATTCATTATTACAATTTTAATACGAAAAAGGAAAATTAATGGAACGAATTTTTTTTATTACAGAACAAACGAATACATCCAGTCAGCAGCACTGACAAAAACAACAATTTAAATGGTTTCAACTATTAATTAGTATATACGTAATAATAGCATATATATACATAATAATAATACTTTTCAAACATTTTAAAACAATTTTATTTTTGGATTACTTTTGTCCTTGCATGCGCCGTGCATGCAAGTATCACGATGTCCGTTATTATTTTATTAATTATTATTAAAAATGAAGAATGTGTTAGAATTGAGCGCACTAACCTTATGTCGCTTTAATAATAAATTCAATCTTAGATAGATTAATGTTATTTTGTTCAACCAATGACTTTCAATGACTAAATCGACTGTAACGTTAATAAGAAGAGAGATAACGTCGAGTGAAACGTGGGTGAAGTCATCTGATAAGTAAGTCTGAGATATATTATTAACTAATTGAAAGCTATTTTTGACTTATCCTATCGATTCTTCAAGGCATAAACATTCAAAATTCTATGTAAAAAAACTGCTAAATTACGCAAGGAACTATGGATAATTTTAATATGTAAGGTTGCTTGTCTTATGGATTTTTGGCAACCCATATGCTTTCGGTAATGTTGCATTTGTTGAATTAAGAAAATTATATGTATAATCAATCACAAATTCTAGTCGTTTCTAAGTTTTTAACAAAGATCTTAGATCCGCCAATTGTTGATCGGATTATGCTTTAAATTTGTATAAGTCAGATAATAAAGCTTCCATTTTATTAATATAATCCAATTTATCTATAGCGGTAATAACATTTCCCTGGTCTGCATGCGTTAACAATATTTGTGGATTGTTTTTAACAAATTGTTTACATTTGTAGTATATATATTTTTGTATAAACTTTTTAATATCTAAATTTTTACTTGTGTATGTATCTAATAACTTTTTAATAATAAATAATTTAAATTGTGTTTTCAATTTACAGTTTTATTCTTTCTTCACGATGAGCGTTTCTTTATAAATCTTTAATACATTGATTTTACAAATCATTTAAATTTTACACTATTAAATTACTTATTAGTACGACACTTCATATTATATATATTAATTTTAAAACAATTGTTCCTCTCGAATATTTTTTCAGAACGAAGTAAGCGAAATAATTGAGAATAGTTGCCTTCTACGAAAAAAACAACTTTTTTTAATCAAATATGTGAATTCTGAAATATTTTAAGATATAAAAATTCTATAAAATTGTATGTAAATAAAAGAATTTTTCGCATGATTAGATTTTCCATATAATTTTGTAACTGTAATATAAAGTCTATATACGCTATATACCCTTTATATTCAGGTCTTCACTTTCTGTCATATATAATATATTTCTTTTCAAAGTTCGACACAACATGCAACGATTGTATGAGATAAGATTTTTTTGCAATAAATTATTTATAAATTTTAATATTAATTTGATACGTATCATATATAAATTTATACCAAATTATTTCAGAAGCAGATTTCATCACAAAATGACCAGAAAACAATTAAAACTTTCCAACCATTTAAAAATGTCCAATCGAAACCAAATATCAAAAATAAAAAACCGAAGACTGCTCATGACGGAATATATGCCAACAAGCAAGATGGACCACAGCCTCCAGTAAGTTATAAAGTTCAATAATTGCGAATTGGACGCACTCGTGCGCATTACTGCATATTAAAGGAATGATTTAATTTAAGTGTAAAAATGAAATGTAAATATTTCGAATTATGAAGTATGCATATTTTATGTAAGTATATATACATATTTTACATATTGTACAATAAAGTGTATTGAGTATTTCATATTTCGATTTATACGATTTTTATGTTTATTTATAATAATATACTTTTTTATTCACTATTGTTATTTAAACCTGAATCGAAATTAATTAAATCAACTCTCTCTATTATTAAAAACAAAAATTTCACTTACTTATATATTATTTTACCAATATCTATATCAATAATTACAATTATAATTTAAATATAATAAAAAAGATTTTAAGTTATACCCTTAAACTCTAAACCTTCAAAGTTTAAAAAATAATTTTTTTTATAAATCTTACTACCTTCAATAACCTCATAAATTTTCTATATATTCATTTAATTAACATATCTTATGTTAATAACATATCTATATGTTAATTTGCGATAGTGTACCAGTACGCACTGAGTGTGTCCAATCAAATTCATTATTACAATTTTAATACGAAAAAGGAAAATTAATGGAACGCATTTTTTTTATTACAGAACAAACCAATACATCCAGTCAGCAGCACTGACAAAAACAACAATTTAAATGGTTTCAACTATTAATTAGTATATACGTAATAATAGCATATATATACATAATAATAATACTTTTCAAACATTTTAAAACAATTTTATTTTTGGATTACTTTTGTCCTTGCATGCGCCGTGCATGCAAGTATCACGATGTCCGTTATTATTTTATTAATTATTATTAAAAATGAAGAATGTGTTAGAATTGAGCGCACTAACCTTATGTCGCTTTAATAATAAATTCAATCTTAGATAGATTAATGTTATTTTGTTCAACCAATGACTTTCAATGACTAAATCGACTGTAACGTTAATAAGAAGAGAGATAACGTCGAGTGAAACGTGGGTGAAGTCATCTGATAAGTAAGTCTGAGATATATTATTAACTAATTGAAAGCTATTTTTGACTTATCCTATCGATTCTTCAAGGCATAAACATTCAAAATTCTATGTAAAAAAACTGCTAAATTACGCAAGGAACTATGGATAATTTTAATATGTAAGGTTGCTTGTCTTATGGATTTTTGGCAACCCATATGCTTTCGGTAATGTTGCATTTGTTGAATTAAGAAAATTATATGTATAATCAATCACAAATTCTAGTCGTTTCTAAGTTTTTAACAAAGATCTTAGATCCGCCAATTGTTGATCGGATTATGCTTTAAATTTGTATAAGTCAGATAATAAAGCTTCCATTTTATTAATATAATCCAATTTATCTATAGCGGTAGTAACATTTCCCTGGTCTGCATGCGTTAACAATATTTGTGGATTGTTTTTAACAAATTGTTTACATTTGTAGTATATATATTTTTGTATAAACTTTTTAATATCTAAATTTTTACTTGTGTATGTATCTAATAACTTTTTAATAATAAATAATTTAAATTGTGTTTTCAATTTACAGTTTTATTCTTTCTTCACGATGAGCGTTTCTTTATAATACATTGATTTTACAAATCATTTAAATTTTACACTATTAAATCACTTATTAGTACGACACTTCATATTATATATATTAATTTTAAAACAATTGTTTCTCTCGAATATTTTTTCAGAAGTAAGCGTAATAATTGAGAATAGTTGCCTTCTACGGAAAAAACAACTTTTTTTAATCAAATATGTGAATTCTGAAATATTTTAAGATATAAAAATTCTATAAAATTGTATGTAAATAAAAGAATTTTTCGCATGATTAGATTTTCCATATAATTTTGTAACTGTTACAAATTTGACAGTGTCTTCTTTGGCAGTTGCCCCTTCTCTCGTCCTTGTTGCCGTAAGCGGCATCTTGTCGGCCGTTTGTTTTTCATTCTCCATCTTTGTCATGGTGCGTGCATGTATCGGAAAATTTGCTTTACGCTGAAAAGTTCCCTTAAAAAAAAATTTGCTTTAAATTGGAAAGTTTCTTCTGCTGGAAAGTTGCTTTACAAGCAAAGTTACATTTCACGTGATAATGCTGGTGAGTTCTCTTGCCAGTCGTTTGGACGTTTTGCGGATTCCCGGCTTGCATTCATGCGACGTCATTACGGGCATGTTTAATTAATTTCATGCATTTCTTGCGTTGAAAGACGTATAGGAGCTTCCTGATACAATTCGGACACACTGGATAAACATTCATGGATGAGTATCAACGATCTTTACGCTATTTATTTTAACTTGAGTTCCGTTGGCATACACCATCTCCGATTGTTGTGTTATATTTTGTGGACTGTATCGTCAGTCGGATGTTGTCAATACGGCTAATAATATTTGCTTGTAAATATGCAATTTGTCATTCTCTCCCTGTGAGGCTCTTTAATGTATATATATATATTGTATATATATTGAGCAGTAACGACTTAAACTTAGTTTGACATTATAAATTTAACAGAGTGGTGTTTTTTGATACCTATAATATACAGTATAATATAAAGTCTTATATACGCTATATACGCTTTATATTCAAGTCTTGACTTTCTGTAATATATATTTTTTTTCAAAGTTCGACACAACATGCAACGATTGTATGAGGTAAGATTTTTTTGCAATAAATATTTATAAATTTTAATATTAATTTGATATATTATATATTGATGTATTATATATAAATTTATACTGAATTATTTCAGAAGGAAATTTCATCACAAAATCATTTAAATCAGAAATCATTTAAAGCTCACCCGAGAACCATTAAAACTTTCCAACCATTTGAAAATTTCCAATCGAAATCAAATATCAAAAATAAAAAACCAAATATCAAAAATAAAAATGGAAATAACTGCCCAAAAAAAAAGATCTACAACAAAAAGATTAAATAACAAAGGTAGAACTAAAGATAGAATCTTGAGAAACCTCTGATAAAATGTTGATAATAGAATAGAATATAATAAAAGACAATAAAAACTAGAAGAATTGAACAAGAGCCTACTGAAATCGGTTATATAAGAAAGGGAGAAGTAAGAGAGAGAAGTTACTTAAGCTATAATAATGCATTATGACCATTAATAATATAATATTTATAACTGTTATCGAAGGTCTTAGAAAAATCTAAGGCTGCAAGAGCTGATAAAAAGCCATTATCAAAGGAAAAAATTCTAACACCATTATCAAAGGAATCGTAACACAAAGAAAAAAATCCGACACATGGATAACAGACGAATCGTTTTCGACGCAGTGAGACGAATGCAGATTATTTTGATTCATAATAGAATTTCTATTGTAAGCTAATTTTAGGAAGGAATTATATATAAATATCCATTTTTTTCATTTTATTTATTGTTAATTATATATAAAAACGCATTTTGAACAATATATACTTTATCTCTTATTAGTCTTCCATACACTTGATACATGAAATAAGTTTATTTTTTGTTTAATAGATAGAAAAGTCGTCCCAGATTCGAACCTTGGCTGAAATAATATTTTTCGCAATAAGTTTTTTATAGTTTAATTTAGAGGGGACTATTAGCGTTTCAGATTGATTGTGTTTAAAGTCCGAAAAAGTTTCGGCGCGTAGTCATATCTGAAATAAATTGATTTAATAAAAGAATATATATATTATTCAAAACGTCTAACTTTAAATCGTGTTAGCATTCTTTATCTTATTCGTTAGAATTTTTTCTCTTATTTGATTTATTCACTTACTAATTCAATTTCTACTTATTATTGCTCAAATCTTGTCATATCTCGATAACTTTTTCACTAGTAGGTACATAGTGGGTACACATTTTTTTCTTTATTTACAAATGACACGTAAGAAATTTCAATGTATCATTTCTTATATCACAGTTACAATATGATCGTGGCGACTAGTGAAACGCCTTAAGATTGCAATACGAATGGTGTAATAAAAAAAGATTTAATGATATAGGGCTAATATTATAATGGTAATATACATTTTTTAATTGAATTTGAAAAGTGGTTCGTACATTTATATGAAAATATGACTGACACTGAAAAAAAGAGTTTGTTATTAGAATAAAAAATAATTTGTGTGATAATTTGATAGGAAAATAAATAGATTAGTTACTATTGCGTATCATTTCGTATTATTCGTCGATGTAACAAACAATAATTACGTAACAAATAAATATAGTTTATTAGAAATAGCAGTACTTATCCATAAGGCGAGTAATTGGTTGAAATTCACCTTATTGCGAGATTATGGATATTTACTATTATTTCCATTTCCGTTATATTACGTAGATCTAACCTGATTGGCTCATCGGTTTACACGTTATGCATACTATTACGGAATTTTGTCTGCAGTAGCTCTTAGACTGTACGATCGCTACGATTTTGTGTTGTAGACTCCGTAGAAGAATTTTGATTGGTTGAATTTTGATTGATTCGCTTATGCTCTATGCGTTATGTGCGTTATACAAAAGTCTGTGCTGCGTCCTTAATCAGATATGTAAATTCTGACATATTCTGAGTTCCATATAAAAAATATGAAAAAAATTTTTTTTTAAGTTACTTTTTAAGTTCGATAGCGCGTGTTCAGAAATTACGCCGGCCAAGAAAGAATAACGGAACTCACACGAATGACAGAAAGTCAAT